CAGGGGGCAAAGCCGCGGCGACCAGGAGCCAATCAGGACGAGGCAGAGAAAGCCGTCCCGTCAGGAAGAGCAGCATTGGGTGAGCCGCTGCGGAGGCGTTGCCCGGCAACCGGGGGAGCGACGGCGGGAGCGCGGGAGGCTCCTGAGGGGATGCGGGCGGGCGGCGGCCACCGCAGTCCTGCGCTGCCGAAGCTGCTCGGGAAACCCGGGAAACCCAAATTTGCTACGGCGAGGTAGAGGTTCGGGGAGCAGCGAACGATCAAGAAAGTAACGGGGAGGCCGAGCTTGTGGTTTATTCGTTGCACCCAGCCAAGTTACTCGGCAGGCTTCTGCGTCACCCAAGACTGACTGTGCATGTTCCTTGCATGGCCGTGCTTAAATGCTAATTTTCAATTAAAACTTCCAGTCAGAAATACAGGAAGTTACGCTTGAGCTTAAGGCAGTCTGTTTTCATGACCAGCTGTTTAATTACCTGCAGAAGATTTAAAGACTAAAGCACAACCTGGTTTTCCAGCACAATATTTATGTGCTTGGGTTTGCCAAGTAAGCGCCAGTTGTGGTAACGTTCGCAACTCAGACTTTGCGTTTGTCTTCAGTTGTATGACAAATGTAATCCAAATACTTGATTCACCTCAGTAAATTGTGCTCGTCTCAGCCTGGCTGCCCGGTTTGAGCTAGCGGAGCCGGCTGTGCTCCTGCAGGCTCCGGGCGTGGGCACGTGTGAAGGGAAAGCTTCCAGCAGGAGCAGCATGAACTGGAGGAGCTGCAGGTCACGTACGTGACTGCTGGATAAGAGACCTCTCCCGCCCTGTCGCGGAAAACTTCCATTGTTTTCAATTACTTCGGAGCAAGCCAACCTCGAGTCTACTGCCTTCCATAGCATATACTGCTGTGCTGGTTTTCCATCTGTCTCAAAGTAGCTTTAGCCTTGCCACTGGCACGTTCTCTAAATTATTACTTTTTTCCTCTACGCGCATTTGTACATAACTGTGGGAACTCATTTAGTACTGAATCCTGGTGGCATGAACTCTTTTCTCTGCTCTAATTCAGACAAAATGATGATTTCACAGCATATCCATTCCCCTGAGGTACTCCAGAGTCTTCTCCAAATGTTCTGCTCGTGCTGCTACCCCCTCCCATGCTTTCGTAAGTGGTCTTTGCCGGGAAAGGATGACTACATCATTATTCATCCTCATGCTCTCTCTGGAACTTTGTGCAATATCCTGCGGTGTCCAATTTTGGCAATACATTTCCTGAAGGATATGTAGATATGTTTTCACAGGATATCACTGACAATCATTATAAGTTAGGCAACTGAATGTCAAAGTCAGATGTTTGGGGAGTGGTTTGTTACCTTCCTGGCCGCCCAGAGCCATGCAGACGAGTGCCTGATGGCAGCGCATGAGGAAGATAGAAATTTTGTAACTTGCGACAGAATGAGATATTGACAGTGTTGCATTAAAAAGTTTGAGCATCACAGTGTTGCATTTCACGTCATTCATTCCTCCCACTCACTTGCACTGGTGTTTTGCATCTGCCAAAACCAGAGAATTAATGCTGTATTCACAACACGCAGCACGTATCCGTCGTTCCAAGGTTGGCTTTTGCAGCTCCAGTTTTATTTCTCCTGCCTAGTTCCAGTGTTTGGCATTATGCATAGCATCTTGCCCAAAATATAATGCGTTATTCCTATGCTGCATACAGCAAGCAGCAGGATTGTTTCAGGGCACATTTAATTTACCTCTAAAGACTCATCTGGAACACGCTCCGCGCTGCAGAACGACCTCTTCACCCCACTGCATCTGCCTGCCGCCGCTGCCTTCCTCCTCTTGGGGAGCGGGGGTCATCCTTCCCCCTCCTCTCCCGCTACCGCACAAGTCAGCTTGGAACACGGGCGCACCGCTGCGGCCCTGCCGCCGCTGCGAACCCGCTTCGGTGCTGGGTGTCATCCGCGTGGGGCCCCGACTCCTCGACACGCGTGGGTGTGACTTCTGCCCCTCGAACGCGTGGTCATCGCCCCCGGGGCAGCGGAGGTCGACACCGCCGGCAGTCCCGCTGCCGGAGCAGCTCA